ATGAACAAGGGCATTATTTGAGAAATTACTTGCAAGAAATATATATAACATAACCAATAGTGTAAAATGATTATAATAAATAATGTTAAATGGATTATTAATTATTATATTCATAATTATTAAATAATTTTAATTAAATTATAAACAAATATAATATAATAAAAAAATTAAAATAAATTGAAAGAACTTGAGCTTAATCCATTTAAATTTTACGATTCAATTCTAATATTTGAATAAAATATATATGTAAAAAAGGATTAAATCATATGATCTACAATTTAATTCGTACGATTTTTAAAAATTTAACCAATTATTAAATGAGGAATTACATCATAATATTTTGATTATACTAGTCACATATAATGTTATTTTTAAAGTAAGAAAATTAATTGAGTTGAGATATAATCTATTTTTGTTAAAATAAACATCATTTATATTTTTAAATAATTATCTTATGATAAAATACTCAATAATATTAATAAGTTCTTGTCAACAATTGAGGTTAATCGATTTAAATTAATTGAAATGAGTTCTAAACTATTTTTTTTAAATGAAAATCTTATTTTATTTTTCATTCGATTTTTTCACACTATCGATTTTAATAACATACGTGAGTGTATTAAGTCAACGCATTTGTTTAAATATTGAATTGATTCAATTCTATATATTTTTCAATAGTGGAGATTATATTGATATAATAATTAATAATGGATGTTTTGAAGTATTGAACCGTGATTATATATATTTTTTTAAAGTTTGCATTTGTTAGTAATTTAATTAAACTTATTTACTAATAATTAATATGAAAATTAATAATTTATTTAACATATTTATATGCCAATTAAATCATTTTACCGGAGTTTTGGATCATATATTTATTGCCTATAATTTATCGAACGTTGCGTTTGGTCCAGTGGAAAGATATGCCCATTCTTTTCAATTTGCTCGAGTTCAAAAACCCAACTGACCCATTTTTGGATAAAAAAGCTGCAATTAACACTCGGGTCCTCGGGTCGGGTCCCACGGATAGACCCGTCGGGTCTCGGGTCCTGAATTTGGGGACCCGAAACCGACACATATATGGGCGGGTCCGGGTCCGGGTCAACCGTCAACGGGGCCGGGGTGGGGCGGCGCAGTCAACGGGTCCGGGCCGGGTCCAGGTCAAACCCGGCCCGTGGCCGTGTCTACTAAAATCCGTATATTTTTTAATAGATGAAAAAAACAACACATTTCACTAATTTTTGAAAGAAAATAAATATCGATTTTTTTTTTTATCCCAAAACACTCTTCAATTTCTTCTTCCGTTAGAAGATATGTCCTTAAAATGACGCAAATGTCCTTCAATTGAACAAATTTATGGCAATTCCAATGAAAATATGTATTATTTTGGGCAGGTTCGTGAATATTTTAGCTCGACCTCATTTAGGCTTTTTTTTCTTTCTTTTTTTTTTAATTATTAATTTTTTATTAAAAATTCTTTATAGTAAAATGAAAAAAATTATAAAATAAATAATGAAATGTTGTTATATATATTTTTTATATTATTATTATAATATTTTATATTATTATGAATTATCTAAGTAACATACACATTTGTTTCTATATAAATACTAGAAATATCTATTATTATAGACTATTTACTATTTAGTAACTATAATTTCAATAATTATCAATCTCCGATTTTCAACAATATATCTCAAATCTTAAGAGATAAAGATAATATACGATTTTTTTAAATCTTAATCTATATATTTGGATTATAAATCTTAATATGTAAGATTTAAAAATATCAATGTTATATAAAATATGAATGATACTATATTATTAAATTTTACTATGTTAGTGTACGATATTTTCTTATTATGTATTAAATTGATTATTTTTTTCACTTTTGAAATAATATCCCGTGCATCGCACGGGAACAAAATGCTAGTAATAATAATAAGAAAATGAAGTTTTAGGGTTTGGCGTGCACACTTGCTGAACTTACTAATATTAATGCATGGAAAATTTATATTCTCTATAAAAGCTGCATGAAAACTGAAACATACACACACAAAGATACCTGGTTGGAATTAAAAAATTAAAGCAGGGCAGCTCAAACAATGCTCCCCCGAGAAACCTCCTCGGAAGCTTCCCAAAAAAGATCCTCCCAGCATTGTGGAGTCTGGGCAGTATGTTGCGGATGCAAAGTAGTCGTCGTATTACAAAGGCAGCAAGTGTAAGGTCCACTTTTTGGGCAGCCTTGGGTTTTTCACAACCCACGTCCCAGGGTGCAATGGTGGTAGTGGTAGTAAATAAATTTTTTTTTCCCCCCCCCCCCCCCTCCCTCCCTGCCTCCCTCGCAATGAGGGGAAGATCCTTCTAGAGTCTGAGAAGATCCTTCTGGAGTCTGACCAGTATGCGGATGCGAAGTCATGTTACAAGTGCAACAAATGTGAAATCCGCATCATGGCCAGACTCTCCTTCTTCAACACAGTCACCGGTTACAAGGGCTCCTCCTCTGGCTCGTCAAACTAATCGATGATCGGAGTTAATAACACATCATTTTATATTCGTTTAATTTCACTTTATTTATTCTATTATTTATCTTCCTTTTAATTGTTGTTTTCTTTTTGCTTTCTCTTTTATTATTTTGTTTAATAACTTTTATCTATCAAACAAAAAAATATATTAATTTGAATATTAATTATCCCTAAAGTCCTCAATAAAATGTTATTACATGATACAACATTACAAGTACTCATGAAGTAACTATTCCTATTTTGAATCATTATTCAATTATTGAAAATGATCGGTAAGTAGAATAAGTCGAAATTTGCACGTATAAACACGTAATATATACGAGATTTGCACTTGATTTTCACGTGATTTGCACGTGGATTTGATCGTAGTAAAGTTTGTTTAATTATCCTATTTTTATAGCTCTTAGTTTTTTTATTTGCACTATGTTTTACATCCATAGAGACATTTAAACAACTACCAATACCAAGCTCGCATCGGTGGTATACGGCTACAAAAGGCGGGCTATATATCTCCCCAGCCGGGGAATCAACTAATCAAAAACCGCCAACACCC